CTTCCGATCTCGACGGTTTCTGAAGTTTTGGTGGCTATGGCGGCGAACCAGTGGACGAGGACGGAGGACAAGATGTTCGAGGAGTCTCTGGTCATCTTCCCGGAAACGTTGCCGGATCGGTGGGAGAGGATCGCCGAGAAGCTGCGGAAATCGCCGGCGGAGGTGAGAGAGCATTACGAGGCGTTGGTCCATGATGTATCCGAGATCGATTCCGGGCGAGTCGAGATGCCGGACTACGTCGATGACTCGGCAGCGAGTTGGGACTCAGCCCCGGCTCAGATCTCGTTCAGGGCTAAACACGGTGATACAGAGAAGAAGAAGGGGACTCCATGGACAGAGAACGAACACAAGTATGTTTTCTTCTTTTTTTGGTCTGTTACAGAGATTGTGAAACAAGGATTAGGGTTTTGGTTTGAACAGAACAGAAAGATCGCCATTGTCGTGTCTGATGATCGTGAAACTGGGAACAGGTTGTTTCTGATCGGGCTGAAGAAATACGGGAAAGGAGACTGGAGGAGCATATCGAGGAACGTCGTGGTGACAAGAACGCCGACACAGGTGGCGAGCCATGCCCAGAAGTATTTCCTCAGGCAAACCTCGATGAAGAAGGAGAGGAAACGTTCGAGCATTCACGACATAACCATAACCACCGTCGACAACAACAACAACAACAACATGGTCGCCGCCATGTCTGGTCCCGAGTGGACCTGGTCGGCTCAGCCCGAGTCAGCCCAGGAACAGTCGCCTCTTCCTCAGCTGCCTCAAAGTGACTTCCACGGCCAAGCACAGTTTCCACGTGATCAGAGCTTCAGGTTTCCATAGCGGAAGGAAGGAGATGAAGTATAGTGTAGGAAAAGGTGGTTTATCATCTTCGGTAGATAAAGGAACAAAAATAGAAACATGTCTCTCGTATCTATTTGGATTCAGACATGACATTAGTGTATAGAAAGAAAGGCTCTTTGTCAGTAAAAAATCATGTTTCTGTAAACCCCTTTTAGGAAAGGAATCGCGTGACACGGATTTGGCAATCACTTTAAATAGTTATTAATCGATTTAGAATCATAATTAAACTCTAGTAATTAGATATAACGCGAGTAAAAAAAATGATTAAACTATGAAAATCAAAATCTTACATAACGTGACGTGTTTTTTTAAGACCTACAAAGATACACGTAGAAACCGGCAAATACAGTTCTCGCTGCTACAAATCCTCAAAGCTAACCTTCTTCTTCTTCTTCTTCTGTCTCTAATCGATAATATTATATAATGGGTAGGATGGTAAAGACGAGGAAGTTTGTTCTTGAGATTTACTGCCTCCCCTTCTTTGAGCAGCAAGAAGGGCATTTGTACTGTTTGATGCTCTCGGCTTTAGCTGGCGTTATCTTGACGCATTTTCCATGGTACCAGCGCTCACAAACGTCGCAGCATATCCAGAACTCGTCATTCGTGTAGTTCCCCCCACAGCTTCCGCAGAACGTGTCCCCGTGCTCGTCTTCTTCGTCCTCGTAGCTCTCTTCCATCGATTTCGTGTTGCTCTTTGCCTGTCCGTCTATTGATCTCTGCAAAAAAGTTGAATACCATCGTTATTTAGGGGAACCCCATAATCTCTAGAATGATAAAGCTCCTGCCTTTATTCTCTTTTTGCCGAGGAAAAACCAGATGCCACAACCCTTTTGAGTAGAGAACCAAACTCTAACACAAATACCATGAGACTGGAGTGATAGAGAAGAGTTAATGGGCTTGAAATCTCAAGGCTTTACTATTCCTAGGTTACTTTTATTTAGCTACGGTCGGTTAGTGGTTAGAATATAAGGGGGAGTGGAAGGAGCTCCATAATCAAATCCTTAATCTGCGTTTCTCAATCAGTATTGATAGTACACACATATTTTCTGGGTTTTCCGATGATGAGCTTATCGCTTGGATGACATAACATAATATGGGAAGGTTGTAACGTACCTTGGTGCCGTTTCTGGATTTGCTACCGGAATCCATGCTTGGCTTGTCTTTGATGGGCTTTCTTCCGGTCACTACTTCGAAGAGGGTCGGGAGATCGTTGATCAGGCTAAACAGACGTTTCCTGGCCATGGAAAGGTGTATAAGTTCACGGGCGCAATTGCGTGAGTAACATTGATCAGCAATTAAAAACACAGAAAGGAAGAGACATGGGCAATAAATGGGGAAACTAAGGCTTAACAGGATTCAAGAAGATGGTTTATCAAGAAAACACGACCCAAAGGAATCTCCCCTCAGCCAAATATGCTTCAACTTTTGCCAAGCCATAACCAAATATATGAGAGGAGCATAGTGCCAAAGAAGCACACTTTCTAGATACTGCACAAAAGGTTCATCCATCCACAACCGAATTCATTAGGGCTTAGAGAAACAAAACTACAGAAAGAAAGTTCAATTTCAGAAAAGGGAAGGACAAACAAACACAGCATGACTGAAATCACTAGAGCTACAGTGATCTTTCTGGGTTAGCTAGAACAAAGCCCGGTTGCTTGATTGAACCTAGAATTCGGCCCATCTAATGTCAAGAGAAGTTGATCACGAAGAAGGCAGTCAAATTGATCAATCAACCAATGAGAAACACAACAAGACCATCCTAGTCATAGGAACCAAAAAAGCCGTGATTTGACTTCTGTTTCAATCATCAACTTGGACCACCTTTCACTTCTGTTGGTCTTCATGATTATGTACAGTAATTCACTGTCCAAAATAATCGGGGTAACAGCTATCTGACAGCAATCTCGTCCAATAATGCTACAAGTAATCTTTATTTTGGAAGCTTTTACTTTCACAAACTCCTTGGAATTCACATGCAACAGCTTCATTCCTTCCGAGTGTGACACAGGAAAAGGAGAATATCCCATACATTCTCAAAGAATCACAGAGACAGCAATAATTAAAAACATTACAGGATAGAAAACACCAAGCATGAAAGATGAAGAACAAAAGATCCCATAAACACCCGACATTACACGACATCAATACATTCAAGAACAATAAAACCCAAATGAAACAAAGCAAAAGGAGAACAAGTTACAAGATTGAAGTTGGTGATGAAGCTTGCTTAAACAAGAACATTTGAAATCAAGCAACCAAAACAACAAATTCTGAATGGAATGGAGCATGATGAATACAGAATACAATACCTCTCATTGCGATTGAGCCGAGCTCCAAAGTAGAAAGACACGGAGAGCAACCAACAATCACTGTGGACTGCAACTAGGGAAAGCCAATCCTTTCGCTGCATTCCGTCTCTTGCGAAATTGATTCCGAGGGCCGGCTCGGGAAGCTCCGGCGGCACTTCTTCCGCCGGGAGATTCACTTCCCACGACTCATTCGGGTGTCCGTACAAACACAAGTTCTCCTTCTCTAGAACCCACAAACCAAAACATGAATGGAGAAGTTCAAAAAGAGGGCACAGTCACAAATCTCACTTTTACATGACAAGGATCAAATCTCTTCAGGGAAAGCTAACTAAACTGAGAGAATGGGTATTTTAATCTGCAGCTTATCCACAGGATTTTCTCGGAAGACAAACAAAAATCAGAAAGTACCAAGGAAAAGGCAGAAAAACACAGCTTACCCGGATCGCATTGCGAGTAAAAAGCATCCACATCTGGTAAAACAGAAAACGAAAACGCCGTGAGAGAAAATCCAAATCCAAAAGGAGGACGCATTCCGACGAAATCTGGGAATTAGAACGGGAAAAGGGTTTGCTGTACCTTTGGTAAGAGCGCGAACAAGAGCGGAGCGACGAGCAGTGAAATCCTTGAAGATCTCTTCAACGGTGCGAGGGTTAGAGGAAACGGCGGCCATAGCTGTACGGGAAGGAGATATACAACCGTATATATATTCGGGTATATCGACGTACAAGAATGGCGTGGATCAGTGAAGGTAACGACAGATCGAAGTCAGCAAAAGGATGTTTCAGAGACCCATGGAAGAGGAGAAAGGAGAAAGAAGAAAGTGATTCTTCAGTTGTTTGGTTTGCGCCAGCGAGAAGGTTTGGCAAATTAGAAGATGCGTTGCTTTTAAATCAAGGCCACTTATTTGGGCTCTTATTGGGCTTAGTGTTGTTCTTCACTTCATCGTTATACATGGGCCTGTACTGGGCCCATTAGAAGAGGAGAAGAAAAATAACCCACGAGAATCTCATTATACGGCGCCGTTTTGATAGTCACATTGTTTGCTCCGTAACCGAATAATTGATTTGATTAATAATCGAATAGCCAAAACCGATTCTAATCGAAAAATATGTAAAATTGTAATTGAACTAAATCGTATCCTTTAGAAAAAATTAAATAGTTCTGAAATGTGAAATTGTCGCCCTAATTCACGTGAATATATGCATACATACATGTACCTATATATCATATGTACGGAAATGTAAGTAAATTCGGGTACCGACATGAAAAAAACGAGGTTAAATGTCAGTAAAAACATACATTCACACGAGAGAAGTATACATTCAATATTTATGATTTTTACTTTGTTCTTCTATTGGTATCATTATTCATAATTATCATTTCTTATAATTCTACTTTTTTATATAAAAACTATATATATGAAGGCCAATTTTTATCTCCTTATTTTCTCCTAGCTTTTGTTCATGATTCATATTGTAAGTTATATTTTTGGACAAATTAAGGAACAAAAGTTTTATTTACAGACTTAGGCTTCAACATAGTAAACATTTTTTTTTATTGTTTCACCTCTTACATCCATCTCTAGGAAGAAACGAGAGAAGGAAAAAAAACGAAGAACGTCCGAAAACCCCGTCCTATCATTTCTTCGAATTCACGTCGCCTTTCGAGCGATCTATGCGACTCACGATGATCGGAAACCGCTTCTGCGTCCTCGTCGTCGGGAAAAACACGAGCTTATCTTCCTCTGCCGGAACCCAACTGCTCGGAAAACCGACAATGTCCAATCTTAGAAAACCGATCTTCGCTATCCATGAACGAGGTTAACTCGGGGGAAAACTCAAACCGAATAGAAAACATACGAATTTATTAATAATATGAACTCGAGAATTATGGGATACCTGAACTTGGTCATCATGTGGTAAAGGAAAACCGAGAGTCCAACCCTAGCGAGCTCGTAACCAGGGCACAGCCGTGGCCCTCCGCCAAAGGGTGTGAACACGTGAGGGCTCGTGGTCACCGAGCTGCTCTGCTTACGATCAACGGCTCGGGTCAAACGCAAAACTAACGAATTCATCGGGGGACGAAAACCGGGATTGTATGTGTATATATACCTGCCATCGCCACGGGTTGAAAGTACGAGCGTCTTTGAAGTTGTTCGGATCTAAGTGAACGCCTCTGAGCGACAAAAATATCTTACAGCCCTTGGGAATCGTATAACCTAATATATATATATATTAAAAAAACATTAGCATCATTATATGATCGACCACGCATTTAATTTATCGATCTACATTCATGAGTAAGAAAATATTTTTACATGTAACAAGTTGGATAGTTTAACCGGTGAAATCGGGACGCAAAGCGTCTGTTCCGTCCCGAGTTCGAACGGGGAAGGAAACGTAATTCCAATCATACGGTTTGTTCCCGACCTCGGGATTAGTCTAAGCCTCGAATCTAAGACTTCCAGTTACCCAAAAAAAAATTCACACGTACCTTTTATCTTGACGTCGGTCGTTGCCCGTCTGAAGATGCCGCCTATAATGTTAGCCACTCGTAGTGTCTCGTTAACCACCTGAATAAATCAATCAATAGGTAACCATCTCAGAATTGAATAATATATAATCATATATATATGATCCGAATATATACAGACCAAGTTGATATAGTTTCTCTGAAAAAACCAAACCCAAAACCAAATATAAATATAACCGAAAAACCCAAATTTCTAACGAAAAATAATAGTTTTGTCTGTAAAAACCGAATCGAATCGAGCGGACCGGATGGATATAAGTATGGTTGGGCTTACACATTGAGTGAATGGCATGGACTTGTAATCGCTCCATTCCAGACTCACTGAGTCCATCTTCTTCGCCCGAATCTCCTCATGTTCCTCCTGTTCACATTCACGTTCACGCAACGAGTTCAGTTATGAATATTTACATAAAACCGTACGGTTCGTCCTTGTTTGTGAAATTTTTTTACATCAATAATCTAATGTAATAAAACATATATTTCCTAATATTTTACTCTCTTTTTTTTTTACCAAATTTATATGGGAGAATAGAAAAAAAAACTTTACTTTTTAAATTTGGCAATAAATAAATGAACTTTTGATATTGTATAAAAACACGGAAACTTTGAAATATTTTGTATAAATCTACACAAATTTGTATAAAACACACAAGCTTAAAAACATTTCGCATGCACCTATAAAAAAAAATTGAGTCTAATGATTTTGTTAATTTACGCAAAATTTTCAAAATTTGTATATTTTTATATAAAATTAAAAATTCATATATTTATTTATTAAATTTAAAAAATCTATATATATTTTTTTGGCGATATTCCCAAATTATATTGGGACAAGCGAGAGAAGAAACGTGGTAATAAAAGGTAAAATCATGCGTGGGGGTTAAGGGGACAAAAGTGGTCAAAACAGTGAGACTGAAGACATAAAGACATGCATGCATGGAGTTAGTCCAAAAAGACATCATTATGCTGTCCTCCTCCTTTTCACCTGTCTAATCGTTCTTTCATACCGGTTTAATTAAACCAATTCGGTTTAATTTTGGTTCATTCCGGTATGGTTCGGTTTTACGGTAGAAATATTCACCCTCCCGTTCCACAAGGGCGACCATGTAAATGATTGGACACAGTAGAAAAAAATCCAAAGACGCTATAAACTTATATATAACAGTTCCATTTCTTTTGGATAAACACTACATTTACCCCCTGAATTGGAAGGTCAAAACCGGAATAAACCGAACTAAACCGGTCTACCGGCCTCACAACATGATGATAGGGTAATGAAGAGAGACAACCGTGTGAATGAATGGTGGAGAATATCAGAGACAGAAATTGAAAATTACCCTCAACCAGATGCCAACCATAACATCATTGTGTCCCCATTCCATGTTTTTTTTCCACTGTAAATGCATGTTTTCACCCACCACTAACTTACGAATTACACCATCCCCTCTTCATTTAGCCCCCCAAAAAATATGTGAATTAAAATAACTGAATAATTTATGTGTTTTCACTTTATATATAGTGAAAATTAATCATCACCCATATCAACGACAAAACTAAACAAGATGCATATATATATATATATATATATATGGACGGGCCAAAAGTTTTGACCTTTTCCTGTCCAATATATAAATGATATAATACAGTCGTAGATTTGATTTTTGATAAAGTGACACATTTTAATTTTTACCGGTGTCTTTTTTTACCTTTACCAAGAAGTTTTACCCCTTTTTTGTTTTTTTATTCATGTTTTTCGTTTTGATGTTTTGATTGACGGTGATATCATCGAAACCTTAACTGCTCATGGATTCGCAAATCCAACTCATGAAAAAAAAAGGTTGATGACTACACAAACATATACACGACACTTCATAAAAAGCAGAGATATTATTATAATTAATAATATTAGATAATAGTAGTAAAATAGAGAGATTTACCTTGAGCTGAGCAAGGGCGAGCGGGGTCTCGGTGAGGAACTTGACGGCGAGGGTCATGATCATCGACGTGGTTTCATAGCCGGCGACGAGCAAAGCCACCAAGAAATCGACGATCTCCTCGTCGGAAAATCCGTCCTCCGCCGCAAGCAAAGCCCCCAACATGTCCTTCTTGGTCTCCCCCTCCTCTGCCGCCGCCGTTCTCCTCCGGCGTACCACCACCGTCAACGCCTCCGCCACCTTCCCCCTCGCCTGCACACGTTAATCAAATCATTTCTGTGTTAGTCTTTTCGATCGAGTTAGGGTTTTTATCAGAGTAATTTGGGGAATGACGTGATTTTTTTTTACTTTGATGGCTTTCCGGTAAGTGGTGGAGATGAGAGGGAAAGGGACAGTGAAGAATCCATCGATGACGAGAAGGTACTGTTTCCTTAGGCTCTCGACCCACTCCCCTGGATCGAAGCTCATCAGCTGCTTCATCGACAGCTCGAACGTTATCTGCAATCAATACACATGTATATATCATTATAAACACACATATACACAAACATTTGTGGAGAAGAACACGAGCTCTGTCTCTCCAGCAAGACCATGCATGCGTCCACTGCACGGTCGCGACTCGGTCCGACGACTCACTGAGTCACGAACTCGGTACGGCTCTTTTTCATTTTGAAAAAAAAAACACACACACACATAAAGTGGGTTTCTTTTCTCCTATCGACCCATTTGATGCGACAAAACAAAAACGGAAAAGGTTGGTCTTTTTTTAAAAAAAAAAATTCTTACCTTCTTGGCTTCCTCCATGAGAAGAACGCGACCGTACCAAGAATCCATATTGAACCGGACTAACCGGTCGATATCGACCATGAGATGGTCCTTGATAATCGACGAGTTAGCGAAGCTCATGGTTAGAGAATGCATACGCTTATGCAATACACCTTGCATCAGAAGCAAAGAGTGCTTTCCAAGCAAATTGCAGAGCGAAGCAGGGTACGACCGCTCGAACAGCTTCCCTTCGTTCTGCAGCACGAACCGGTTCATCTCCGCGTCTACCGAGAAAACCGTCGGCTCACCGAACACGTGGGTCAAGAAAATCGGACCGAACCGGCTCACCCTCTCGTCGGCGAACGGTTCGGGGTTCCCAGACTTGAACGCCCCGATCAGCTGCATCGTCTCTCCGATCAACGGCAACCCAAGATTTCCCGGCGGAAGCCCCATCCTCCGGCAACGCGCACGGCGGAGGAGGTGGATGAGGACGGCGGCGACGGAGGTCAAGAACAGGGCGGCGAAGGTGGAGGAGAATGAGGAACAGAAAGATGCCGGCGTCGTCGTCGACGCCATTGAGTTGCCGGTGAGGAGGTGCATGATATGTAGAGAGCTGTATATATATACCAGAGGGAGCGATACAGATACAGAGTATGTATAGGAGTGTATGTATAGGTGTATGTAAATAAGGGATGAGTTGTTAAAGAGGATATGAAGAGAGGGGTGTGGGAGTATTAATGGATGAGAGGGTGGGCACACGAGGGGTTTCTGCTAAAACGTAGGGCCCTTTCATCATTATAGGATATTGCAAAATCTTGTTTTTTAAAATCATTAGTTATTTTTTAATATCCCTTCTTAATATGTATGACAATACATTATTTATATCCATTTAGTGTTTTAGCTAGCTAAAATAATATCTTGCATGGTTTGACCAAATTTATAGTCTAAATCCATATTTTAAATATGCAAATCCAAATTCACTTTTTTGTGGGTTTGCGAGATGATAACAATGGTAAAAATGTTTTATATTTTTATAGAAAATGAGTCAGTATAGGACTGAAACAATTAATAAAGATTTGTATTAAAAAAATTTAATAATATACAGTTAAAAAGTTATTGCAGTAATATTTTTTAATAATTTTCATAAATAATTATTTCTATGTAAAGCTCAATAATTAAACAATACATAATTATATGTAAATTTAGTATGTTATAAAAAATATATTAGCTAATACTATGATACTTTAAAATAAAAATAATTCCACTAGAAACTAATTAATTTAAAATTATTAATTTATAAATTGAATAGATTTAATGTTTTATGATAAAGAGATTCTAAACTATATTTATATGAAATTGTAAATATTTGGAAAAAAATTCAATTAGAAAAACAATGGAAAAAGCTATTCATATATATATATATATATATATATATATTAATGACATTTTTGGTCGATCAATAAGTTCATAAGAATGAGAGAGCATGTGCATTGTTGGTCCACATCTTGCTTATGAACACTTCACATGACTCTCTCTCTCTCTCTCTCTCTCTCTCACCAATTCCCAAATTCATGAGTTCTCCATGACCTTTTTTTATAAATTTTTTAATTAGACACCATATCTATATATATATATATATATATATGTATATGTGTGCTTATATGTTCTGGTTAGTAGCTAATGACGAGCTTTATTAATGTACTTGCATAAGAATTCTTTAATCTGACATGTATAGAGTGACATTGATTCCTTTTACCTTCATGAATTTTTAGCAGATGACAAATTATTTGTCCAAGAAATTGCTGCATGTATCATATAAAAATTGCACATATATATGTATATATATAGTTTTAAAAGTGGTTTCAAATTTGATAGTGGCCTACAAAATTCTGTGCCATGGGATTTATTTGCTATAGAAATGTCAAATTACAATATATATA